AGGCAGAATTTGGCTAAGTCAAAATCCGTGTTCATGGTACATACTTTGGAGGCATGGTTCTCCCAATTGGCTTGGTGGAAGTTCCAGTTCAAGGGTGTTTATTGTAGATAAAGTTTCCATGTTTCCAATGATATGATTTGTGAAGCCAGATGATGTCATTAAGATTGTTTTCCAAGACCTCAAAGTTGCTACCTCAAAACTGGAAAACTGCCAGAAAATGGCTAAGGCAGGAAACTGTTTTGTGAAGCCTACTTTGGATCTCAATTCAAGGAGCATGGATGGGATTCATGTCAAAAGGCTTCCACAACATGAAACTAGGTATGTTTATCTACCAAGGGAAGGAATCGGATGAAAGATTGGAGTTCGGGAAGGCCTCGAACGAAATCCGCAAAGTTAGTACGAAAGCTGCCTTTTGACTGTTTTGCAGGCAACTTACTTGTGCTTCAAGAAAGGAAGTTTAAACCCGAATTTTGTGTCCTTTTTAGTGTAGAAGTTTACCTTAATTGTTTCCTAGTTATACTATGACTGTATTAGGTTTTATTTTCCTTTAAATACCGTTCTATTTCGTTGTAAAATTAAGACTTTGTTGAATAGAAAAGAAACCGTTTGGTTTGTGCAAGTTGCGACTTGTTTTGGGTTTGGTGGATTCCAAACTTGCTGAGCTTGTGTATCGATTGAATAGTCACTTCAATCGTGATCCAAATTGGCCACTTCTACAAGTCACAATTACTTGCCAAAGAAGCTATCAAGGTTGGAAAGAAGAAAGGCAGAATTTGGCTAAGTCAAAATCCGTGTTCAGGGTACATACTTTGGAGGCATGATTCTCCCAATTGGCTTGGTGGAAGTTCCAGTTCAAGGGTGTTTATTGTAGATAAAGTTTCCATGTTTTCAATGATATGCTTTGTGAAGCCAGATGATGTCATTAAGATTGTTTTCCAAGACCTCAAAGTTGCTACCTCAAAACTGGAAAACTGCCAGAAAATGGCTAAGGCAGGAAACTGTTTTGTGAAGCCTACTTTGGATCTCAATTCAAGGAGCATGGATGGGATTCATGTCAAAAGGCTTCCACAACATGAAACTAGGTATGTTTATCTACCAAGGTAAGGAATCGGATGAAAGATTGGAGTTCGGGAAGGCCTCGAACAAAATCCGCAAAGTTAGTACGAAAGCTGCCTTTTGACTGTTTTGCAGGCAGCTTACTTGTGCTTCAAGAAAGGAAGTTTAAACCCGAATTTTGTGTCCTTTTTAGTGTAGAAGTTTACCTTAATTGTTTCCTAGTTATACTATGACTGTATTAGGTTTTATTTTCCTTTAAATACCGTTCTATTTCGTTGTAAAATTAAGACTTTGTTGAATAGAAAAGAAACCGTTTGGTTTGTGCAAGTTGCGACTTGTTTTGGGTTTGGTGGATTCCAAACTTGCTGAGCTTGTGTATCGATTGAATAGTCACTTCAATCGTGGTCGAGCAACTACCCTTATATACCAATCGAGCTATCCCCAGGTGTGGATTTGTCCTTTTGGTTCCGTTTTATCCAAGTTCGTATTAAGAACGTGTTGTTCTTGATTCGAGCTCAATCGATTCTTCGATTGAGTCGTTTGCTGTGTGACTTTGATAAACATACACCCCCCAGGGGCGTATCAACTACTTTAGTCGAGATTATTGATTATGCTTTGATCCTATGAGAGCGAATACCTGATTAGGTCAATAGAGCACCATAGATTGATAGTAGTGGATCGATTGCTTTAGTCAAGAGTTGATTCACTGCTTTGTATCGATTGAGAACCTCTTTCGATAGAGGGAGTCTAGTTCAGAACGCTTTGATCGGTTCTTCTAGAGAAGGATACGTCCCTCTAGGCAATTGACTCAAGAGGGCCTTGTTCCTTTAGTCGAGACTCAAGGTCTAGTCAAGGATTCTCCGCATTGTGAATGAAAGTGAAACAAGTTAGAAATCATCAATCGCTAATCTGGCTAGTGGCTAGGGGAAATCATACCTAAGTGAGTTCCCAACCTGTAATTATATTAACTTTAACTGTAGTTTGTTAGAGTAGTTTTAGTTCTTCCATCTTAATCTGGTTTGCTAGATAATGAACCGAAGCTGAGTAATAGTAACTCCAGAGACCCGTGGATTCGATATTTATTACTTGAGCCACTATACTGCAGTCCCTTTCATTGGTTACACTTGGCCATTGTTAGGAGTTGTGTCATAGCGAGTCAATAGACAACTGATTGATTATCGCAATAAAGACACTGGTTGAGTATGAGGAACTTTGAAGTCATCATGTAGATAGAGAAGCCATTGAATTTCATAGGTAGTGTGGGCAAGAGCATGGTATTCAGCTTCACAAGATGAGCGAGAGACAGTAGTTTGCTTCTTGGACTTCCAAGAGATGAGAGGCTACCCAAGAAAAACACAATAGCCTGTGATGGATCTGTGCGTGTCCGGACAAGCTCCCCAATCCGAATCGCTGAATGCTTGAAGTGATAAAGACGAGGAAGCAGGGAAGAAAAGTCCATGACCAGAGTTGCGTTTGATGTACCGCAGAATGCGAGTGACAGCTTTCTTATGTAGAACAGAGGGAACCCCCATGAATTGACTGACCTGTTGAGTCTCAAAACTGATATGTGGCCTTGTGGTGGTCAAGTAAATCAGTTTTCCAACAAGACTCATGTAGGCAGTAGGATCAACCTTATATGCACCATCCTTGGAACTCAAATGAGCTTTGTAATCCTTGGAAGTGGTATCTGGCTTCACTCCAAGGTCTCATGCTTCATCAAGCAACTCTAAGGCATACTTCTAAAAGTGGATGCCTTTATCAGAACGAGTCACTTCTAAACCCAAAAAGTACTTGAGACAGCCTAGATCCTTAATGCTGAAGGTATGATTAAGATGATTTTTGATCCTGTTGATCTCAACATCATCATTCCCCCCCCCCCCCCCCCCCCCCCCCCACACACCCACCCACACAATTAGATCATCAACATAAACCAATATAGTAGTATAGGAAGTGGGTGTTACTCGTGTGAAAAGGGAATGGTCAGCAAGGCTCTGTGTGTATCCTTCATGAATCAGACTGTTAGAGAGTTTAGAAAACCGTTGTCTGGAGGCTTGTTTCAAGCCATAGAGGGATGTATGTAACTTGCAAACTTGATTGGGAATGCTAAGAGGAGCTGCCATACTTGGAGGCAGATCCATATAGACCTCCTCATGGAGGTCTCCATGTAGAAATGCATTGTTAATGTCAAGTTGCTGAAGAATCCAGTTTCGGTTGCTGCAATTGCCAAGAATAATCTCACAATGGTCATCTTCACAACAGGTGAAAATGTGTCAAGGTAATCAATTCATTCACTCTGTGTATATCCCTTTGCTACTAATTGTGCCTTGTTTCTTTCAGTATCCCCAGTGGATAGGTATTTAATTTTGTATACCCACTTACAACCTATCTTTTTCTTCCCTTTAGGTAAGGAGACAACAGTCTAAGTCCCATTCTTTTCCAGAGCAGTTCTTTCTTGGTGCATGGCTTCATTCCAAACATCATGGTGGGAGGCCTGTGCATATGTCTCTGGTTCTGTTTTAGCATAAATGGACATGACAAAGTGTCTATGTGAAGGAGAAGGCTTGGAATAAGAGAGGAAAGAGTTGATGGGGGTACCTTTTGCTTGTAGTTGCAGGACTTGACTTGGATGCAAATAATTGGGAACTGCGGGTAACCAAGTGCTCACAATCATATTGGCTTAGGTGACTAGGGGGTTTGATGACAAGAAGAGGTAAGACTCGAGGAGGAACTAGAGTGGAAGAGGGAAGGTGAATAGGAGGTGGAGTTTCAGGTGGGCTATCAGTGTTGTTGTCATCATTAGAAGATGCAACACTGGCAGCATCAGGGGAAATAGGAGAAGCAGCAGAAGGAGGATAGTAATCTGGATCATTTGCTGCTTGTCCTGGAATGGGATGGATGGATGGTGTTTTAATGTTTCCATGAGAAGTACTGGAAGACATTGTGAAGGGAAAAGTGGACTCATGGAAGATGACATGCCTGGAGAGAAAGACTTCATGATTATCTAGATCATAAAGTCTGTAGCCTTTAACTCCAGGGGTGTAGCCTAGGAAAACTCACCTTCTAATTCATGGGAGAGAATTTGGTTCTAGTCCTTGGAAGTGTGGAAGCAAAACAAAGACATCCGAACACCCTTAGGAAACTAAGTTCAGGAGGTTTGTTGTAAAACAGTTCATATGGTGAGGTGTTCCCTAGGATTTGAGAAGGGATTCGATTAATGAGAAAGACTGCATGTTTTACACAATCATACTAGAATTCAATAGGTAGATTTGCTTGAAACTTCAGTGCTCTAGCCACTGCTAATCTGTGTTGAAGTTTTCGCTCCACCTTAGAATTTTGTTCTGGTGTTTCAACACAGGACATCTCATGAATGGCCCCTTTCTGAGAATAGAAATCATTCATTTGAATTCTGATCCTTGATCACTTCAGATCCTAATAACCTTACTTGAGAACTGAGTTTCAACCAAGTTGCAGAAAGAAATAAGATGTGTTCTGGCCTAAGACTTTTGTTTCATAAGAATTATCCATGTGAGCCTACTATAGTCACAACTATGGTCAAGAAATAGCGATAACCATCATGAGAAGGGTGTGAAAGGGGACCCCAAATATCTGTATGGATAAGTTAAAAACGCTTTGCAGTAGTAGTAGTGCTAACAGGAAAAAACAATTGTTTCTGCCTTGCAAAGTGGCATACGTCACACTTGTTGCTATGAACTATGTCTATACTGGGATGCAGTTTTCGAAGATAAGGGATTTGAGATTGAGAAACATGGCCTAACCTATAATGCCATAGATTGAAAGATTCAGTTGTGCTTGAGGCAACAACCTTCATAGGACTACTGACATGCTTCCTATCCAGTTTGTAGAGACCATGATGGAGCTCAGCAGAACCAATCATTTGTATCCTCGACATGTCATGAATAAAGCAAAAGGAAGAAGAGAAGATAAGACAAAAGTCAGTTTTCTTAGTGAGCTTGCTGACAGACATGAGATTGAAACTGAATTCAAGAGCATATAAGACATCCTCCAAGATCAAATTCTCAGGGAATTTCACTATTCCCATGTGAGTAGCCTAAACTGAGTGACCTTTAGGTAAGGTGATCTGCACATTCATTATCTTTTTAGAGTTAAGGAAGAGGCTAGGATCACAGAGGACATGATCTGTAGCCCCTGTATCAAGTATCCACACAGCTTCCTCTAGTACATTTGTCTGAGGGAGAATAGATAAACCATACTTTCCTTCGTCATTATAAGTCTTACTAATGAAGGCAGCTACTTAATGTGTTGGAGGAGTGCTAGGTTGACTTGATGATGAACCATTGCTCTCCTTGGCCTTGAGAAGATTCATGAGTGATTCATACTGATCCTTCTGAATCATGACGCCTTCTGAGCTTGAATCAGTGCTAACAGCAACATTGGCTGGTCTGTAAGTGCCTTGTTCTGTGCCTCTACCTCTTGGACTCATCCCATGAGGCCAGCCATGCTTGTGGTAGCATGTGTCTTCAGTATGACCATGCATTTTGCAATAGGTGCAAAAGGGTCTTGACCCAGGGGACCTTCCTCTTCCTCTGCCTCTTCCTCGGGTACCAGAGGCAGGGCTATAATTCCATTCTGTCCTTTGTGTGTCTAGGAGCTTCAAACCCAAGGATTGCAAAGCCAGAGCAAGTGATTCCACAACCTTACCCTTGTCTTGTTGATTCCCAGTCATTTGACGGTCATGTTGAGCCATCTTATAGAATATTTGATCCATAGTAGGCAAGGGTTCAGTAAACAAGACTTGGGATCTAGGTATAGAATAGTTCTCATTCAAACCTCGTAGGAAATAAACAATCAAGTTGGTTTCCTCGTGTGCTTTGACAGTTTTAATTGCTTCACATTCACTATGACTGGTGGTAGTGCAAAGACATGGTGGAGTTGACTGGTAATTTCTTAATTCTTCCCAAATGGTAACCAGGTGGGTATGATACTCAGATAGGGATTTTCTGCCTTGTTTCAAGGTGCAGAGTTTCTCTTTGAGCTCAACAATACGTATTAAATCTCCCTGCGCATATCTAAGCTTTAGGGTTTTCCATACCTCAGCTGCAGACTGGATGCTTCTCACGCTTTTTCCAATTACCTCATCAACTGACTGAAGAATCCAGCTCTTGACCACCGTGTTGCAACTCGTCCAAGGCCAGGCCATCGAATCTCCTGCTGCTGGCTTAGGGATGCTTCTGTCTATGAAACCCAGCTTGTTCTTTGAACCGAGTGCATCGATCATGGCTGCGCTCCAGTCATTGTAATTGGTTGGAGTAAGCTTCTAAGACACCAGAATCTGACCAGAATGGTCAGATCCGTGAAGGTAGTATGGATCTGCAAGTGGATAGCCTGTTGCAGGCTTGGTTCCGCTTGACGAGCTGTCAGTGGCGGCATTGGTCCATTCCACCATTGTATAGAGGTTTATAGCAAGGAAAGGGGTATAGAGCCCCTAACCAGGCTCTGATGGCTCTGATACCATAACATCGATTTTGGTGTTTAGTGGTTTTAGAGGATTCAACGTGCCTCCTCCCTTCTTCTCATTCAACCATATATAGTTCAGATCAATTACAAACCCATCTATGCTGGTAAAAGGACAACAGTGAAAATGGAAAAGAGACAAAACAGTAAAAGAGGTCGTTGTCGACCGTTACAAGAACAACAATGCTATTGGTCCATTCATGACAAAACGCAGCAAGACGCGTGTCCTCCTAGATGCGGATTGGAGTTAATGAAAATGGCAGCGTTCAAGGCTTTGGTGATTTGGCTTGCTTCTGGCTCACGTCTGTGGCTTGAAGGAGAAGAAAATTCACCATTTTCTTCTGTTATTTCTCGGGGGAAAAATATTCTCTAATGGAGTCTTTGTAATTCCATCCAATTTTCAGGGTCAAAGTTATCGATTATTATGAAAGTTGGAGTCATCTTTGTCATTATCAAAAGTTTAAGATCCGGCCTCTTGATCGTAATTATGTAATTCGATAAGTGAAAGCTCAATAATTTATGTTTCGTGTGATCAATTAGAGTGAGAGACAACAATCCATTTGTCTATATTAATGAATTAATAAGCTCTCAATATTTTATTTTTGCCAAATAAAATATTAGACGAATCTCCCCTAAAAAATTAACAGTAGCATTTCTGTCACAATTTACTTGAATTATTGTTACTTCACACTTTATCGTATTGGCAATAAATTTGAAAATGTGGTACGAGAGTAATAGATTATCTACATATTCATAACTCTTAAACATTCTATTTGTATTCTATATGAGCTATTAGGTGTGCACCTTGATTATTTGTTTTTCACCTCTAAACATTTTCATTCCACCTCACATTGACGTGTTATTTGAAATTCACATGATTAGATTGATTTAAGTCTCTTTAGTTCATCGATTTGAAATGAATCATTTTGGATTTGGCTTTCCATTCCATATAATTTCTCGACTATTGCACATGCAAGAGGAAGTCTGAACATTTGCCCCTTCTTTGCTATAAAGAAATTTTTTCAATTGGTTAGCCGAGTTAGTAGAGTATATGATCATATCATTCCATTTAAACCAAACTCAGAAAGGATTTTAAATAATCAAACGAACTAGCCAAATTAACCAAACCATGGTAGATGAATACACAATTGGTTGATGTACCACCACGGGACACGATAAATAACTTTCATATGTGGTTTTTTTCTACAAAATAAAAAAAAGTGGGTATAATTTTATACATATAGTTGAATGGAATGATTCTATACAAAAAGAATTTAAAATTTTGAGTTGAAATGAACAAGATAGGATTATTTCCCTAAATACAGTAAAAATTAAAAGTAATTCCCACAATACATCACTTTTATAAATATTTCCCAAACTACCAAAGTTTGAACCGGTTCGAGTTTAACAAACTCGAACTAGGACCAGATCGATCCACGTGCATCGAGCGAAACAGCCACAATTGGCAGGAACAGGACGACGCGGATCGAGTGTGTTAAACTCGATTTACTTGGATCGAGTACAGAACACTTGAACAAGCTGACATGGATCGCTCACATATGCAGCGCTCCACCCTAGATCGAGGTAAAGGGGATCGATCTCCACCGTTCGATGGCAACATCCGCGATGAAGTGGTGATGCGGATCGAGCGGGGATAACTCGATGCAGGTGGATCGAGTGCTTGGGAATCGAATTAAATTCATATCACAACATAAAATTCAAATTACAACATAAACTTTCAATTATCAGTCGATGGCCCTGGACACTGGGGCCTATCATGCCCTTCAACTCGACATGCAGAGCACTTCTTCGGGCGGCATCGCTGTGTCCTTGATCTATCCATTTCATTTTCAATTCGGTTAACTCTAGGTCGACCTTTGGTACGCTTCATGTGCTCGGGAGGGTACACTACAGGTCCATCATACTGTGGCCAATATGCTTCATGAGCCAAGGGAAAGAACGACCCTTCCCAAACTCTGACCACGTATGGAGTCTTGTAGTATGTACTAACAAATATCAAAGGGTCCAAATTAACGCTTCTCGCAATTGCATATGCATGAGAGCAAGGCAGGTGTCTCCCTTGAAACTTCCCACAAGTACACTCTCCAATTCCATTCCTTGCATCCAGTATAACTGTTTGAGCATTACCACCCTTTGAACTACCTGGTCCACTTCCTGTTGCTACTGCGAAGCGGGAATCTCTTCGACTATATAAAGTCACCTTATGCCATTTTGCCCTTTCCGACCATGGTTTCATATCATCCGTAATATTCTTTGGGATGTAGATTCCAACATTCATCATCTGATCTGCTGCTTGATAGCGTTCAATGAACCATGTCACCGTACGAAAGAAGGTATGCAAGACTATAGATGAGATAGGCATTGCACGTAGACCAACATACAAACCATTGAGGCACTCACCCATGTTCGTTGTTGTTATTCCATACCTATACCCTTCGTCTTGATGTAACGTCCACCTCTCAAAAGGATGAGTTTCTAGCCAATCTGCACCTTCAGAGTGGACCTCCCTTATGCTCTTCATTTTGTCTACAAACTTTCGAGTCTGAAAAGCAATAGCTACAATAAAGCAAAATAAGGTTAGTAAAGGAGTATACACATTCAACCAATTGATATAATCACAACATCTTATTTGTTCTTACCAGCGTGCCAAACTGTACGTTGTCCATAAGTTCTACCAAAGTGTTTCCCGTAATTGCTTTTGAAATGTCGTATGCACCAACACCACTTCCAACCTAGCTCCTCGGGCAGGTCGTAGAAAGCATGTGCAATTCCATGGTGTCGATCAGAAAGTATGGAAATGTCCTTCCGTTGAGTGACACGAGTGTATAGTTGGGAAAAAAACCATGCCCAACTTAAGTTGTTCTCCGATTGGACTATAGCAAAAGCAAGGGGGAAAAGTTGCATACTGCCATCAACACTAGTGGCAACAAGTAGAGTGCCCTTGTATTTGCCGGTCAGAAAGGTGCCATCAACTTGGATTATTGGCAGACAATGGGTGAAACCATCAATGCATGGTTTGAATGCCCAAAATAGTCGCTTAAACACGCGTTTAGCACCCCCATAGAAATCTTCGAAACTAGGCACAAAAACAGACCCAGGATTCTTGTCCACCATTGCAAGAATCAAACGAGGCATGTTAGCAAATGACTCTTCCCAATCACCATACACCTCTGTCATAGCTTTTTGCTTCCCATGCCATGATTTCTTGTAACTGATGGTATAGCCATGTTGATTCTTCACTTCAGCGATGATACTCTTCACGGTGATCCCAGGTTGTGCCTCAATCAGATGTTTGATTGTTTGTGCAACCTTCCTTTCACTCAATTGTCGGTGATCTACAGAAATCAGTGACGACCTACAAGTGTGGTTGTTGTCTGTCTTACGAATGAGCCAAGCCACATTTCTTTTAACATATGCCGCCCGAACATGCCACATGCATCCGTCGCCATGGTTCTCGCAATGAACATGAATTTGTTTAATGTCAGAAGTGATGACACGATATTGAAAGCTTCTTTGCATAGCAGTTTCTTTCAATGCATCGACCACCTGAGGCTTTCCTCCAAATGTTTGGCCAACCACGAATCCATAGTCAGGAGTCCAGATTGGTATAGGAGGGAGGTCAGGATCGTCGTTGTGAGCATAGAGAGGATGTTGTGGCCCCATCGTGTAGTGAGGTGTGGGAGGCTCAAATTCCCCGTCATCAAATTCCAGATCTTCACCATCTGAACTACTCATTGATTCTAACTCTTCATCTTCCACGTCGCTTGCCTCGCTAGTGTACGGAGGACTTGGTTTATCCACATATGGATCATTGTTGATGCCAGATGCTGGTGTAGATGCTTGTCTGGGTGTCTGTCTGGGTGCCCTTATGTAATCCCATTCTTCACCCCATACTGGCCACTCATATCCGTAATGTTCCACCAATGGACCAGTTGCAGTTCGATCCTCGTATGTTGGCCATGGTGCATCATGTCGGACTCTGAAATCTCCTGAACCGGAAAACCCTCCCGATCCTTCACCTTGTTCGGTATAACCGCCGCCACCATATTGGCCAAAAACTTCTGTCTCGACATACACCTCAGCAGTTGGAAATCTATTCTCTGCAATAAATCTCACCATCATATTAATGTCATCATCGTCAGACAAAACTGATCCTTCATATACAAGTGCATAATCCTTGTAAACCGGCATACGGTAAGTCATCTTGCATACTCTTCGCCCTCCTATGCAACATCGTTCCGCACAAATATGACTGAGTTCTTGCCAAGTAAATATGCTCTCAATCCGGACAATACTTGATTTACCATCTTCGTAGTCAATACTATCATGAAAATGTGTAATTCGACCATTCCACCGAATCTTTTTTCGAAACTTTCTACCCATTTCTGCAGTTTATAGAAGCAGCTCATTACATACAGTACAAACAATACTAAATTAATCCAAAATTCTAATATGCTCATTCAAACAACGTAAGTAGAACTTACCTCCAAAATTTTTCTTCTTTGCTCAGCTATGGTGCTCCAGCAGCTGCAGTTTGTGTTTGGAAGAAAGAAGATAGAAAGGAAGAGAGCTGCCAGAATGTGCTAAGTGATGGCTTTTTATCCTCGTAAACTGGTGGAGTGGTTCAAGTCCTAAAAACTCGAACTACACTAGTTCGAGTCCATTAAACTCGATCTAGGGCAACCAATAATTTTACCCCTGCACCCTATTCTGGAGCATGTCGGACCGAAAGCGACTGGACCGAATGATTGAGCAGTAGTTTGAGTTAAGTGTAATCGAACTACACTAGTTCGAGTCCCTAAAACTCAATTAATGACAACAAAGAATCTTATCCCTGCAACCCTATCCTGAAGCATGTCGGTGGACCAGTGGTTCGAACCCATTGGAATCG